TGTCTGCTTTCACTCAATATTGTTTGTATCATCGTGTTGATGCATGTTGCAGTTGTGTGTTCCTTCCCATCGCTGAACCTTTCATTGTGTGACTACACCACAATTTGTTCTATTGCTGATAGGCATTTGGATATTTTCCAGGTTGGGGCTCTTAGGAGTATCAGTGCTGCAGTGAACATTCTTAGGCTCCTCTTTTGATAAATATATGAACACATTTCTGCTCAGTGTATACCAAAGATGGGAAATGCTGGGTCATAGGATTTGCATATAATTAAGTTTAGAAGATACTGCTAGTTTTCCAGTGTGTGTGTATTAATGAGAGAAAGGTCATTTTTGTCCAGAGTACTCCATTCTCATGAGCATAAAAATAAGATATCTTGTTTTCTTTTGGTTGTGGAAGTAAATTCAGTTGATAAAGAATTCAGTGAAATATTTTTACTTAAAATAACTTCTTAAAACTCCACCCATTTTAATGCTCTTTTCACTTTACCATAAAACGTATTTTTACTTATAGTATTTGAGAATGAGAAAGAGTAATGGGTGGGGGGTGGGCAGTATCTTTGCCTTTACTTCCAGGGATTCATATACCATGGGAGTTCCTTCAGACTCCCTCCAGGTTGTGCTCAAATTTTGAGAGTTCAAATTTCTGGAATTCCTTTTGTTCTCCAGGGAATTGGGATCACGGAAAGTGGCAACTTGGAAAGAGAGTGCAGAATGCCTGTCCCGCACAGCATACCCTGACCCTGTCACTGTGAGCACATCATCCAAGAGGACCGGGCAATCTGACCTTTTGGGATTGCTCACTATTTCCTGTTTTAGGACAACTTTTTCATTTTCATTGTTCAAGTCCCTCTAACAACCAAGAAACTCTTTACACTGAGGTCACCAAAATGTCAGCTAGGTATACCATTTGGAATGCCTGGCTCTCAAAAACACCTCCCTCCCACCCCCAGAACCCTGTATTCTATTCCCTTCACAGCTTCACATAGCAGGAGAAAGTAATAAAAAATAAGACCTTTGTCTGGGACTCTGAATCACTCCAGACGTTGGTGATATATATATTGACACCGGATACGTATATTATTATGCCAGCACATTATATTTTGCTTAAAATAGTAGAAAAAAATCCCCAGTAGGCCTTTTTATCTATATGTAGGTGTTGGGATTCCTAGATTATCCTGAACAAAAAGGTGATGTGAACACATTTAATAGCTTTGCTAAATTCAATGCTTGTTTTTAACTTAAGACCTGGGTTCAGAGCTCAGCACTTGAATTTTCTTTTTTTTTTTTTTTTAACCTATGATACATTTTCTAATGCTTGAACTGTTGCTTTCAGTCTGTGAAATTGGTTTCAGATCTTTGCCCTGCCTGCCCCATAGGGTTGCTATGGGGATCAAATGTGATCATTTATGTGAAATTGTAAATTATAAAAGTACTAATAAGCCCAAGCCTTTGAAAGCTGGGCTTAGTAGACCCTGCATTCTAAGCTAGACGGTTACTGTCCATTGACCTAGAGCGTAGGGGAACTCGCTCTGTACCTTGAGATGTGTGCACACACAAGCCTGAAATTTTAACCTTGCACCAGACAGGACTGGCTGACCTATTGAGTCGTGAGTTACTTGTCTAGATTCTCCCGGCCCCTAACAGCCTTCCCCTGCGTGGGGAAGGAGAGGGACAAAAACTGTTTGGTGAGAGCCCCAAACTATTACCCTTGCAGGTGATTTCACTTTATGGGGTGGTTAGAGGGCTGTAGAAAGTAGGTAGCCTACGGAGTCACTACTGTTCATATACAAAATTTTTTTAAATTTTCTTTTATCCACCTACATTCATTAAGTACAGAGAATATAAAAATGCTTATAGGCCATAAAAAGATCTGCATGAAAGTATTAGCAATGTTTATTCATAATTGTTAAAGTAATAAATGCGTAAAACAGGGACTGAAACACAGCCTTGTGAACACCTCCCAACATCTATTCCTTATTACTAGTGAGGAATTCACTTTTATTTTAACCCCCCCCCCCAAAAAAAAGACATTCTTAAGTTTTGCCCTTGGTAGGTGTTGACTTGAGCAAGGTGGATCTGGTGTGCTTCCCAGGGCTATTTCATGCATTGTTCCATCAGGCACCTTCCAGGATAGGCCAGATGACGTATCAACTGGAAGATGATTGTCAGAAATGAGAAATTGACCACACTCATCAAGATCTGGAGATACTACATGAATTATGTTAATTTTCAGTCAGTGTTCTCATTGGTACTGAGCAGGTTTTTTTTTTTTTAATTCCCAATTTCATTTTTAAAAAAAGATTTTATTTATTAAGAGAGAGTGCACATGGGCCAGAGAGAGCAGGAGCAGAGGGAGAGGGAGAAGCAGACTCCCCACTGAGCAGGGAGCCCAACATGGGGCTCGATCCCAGGACCCAGGATCATGACCTGAGCCGAAGGCAGTCGCTTAACTGACTGAGCCACCCAGGCGCCTCCCTGAGCAGGTTTTGAATATCAAATAGTATAAAAATATGGAATATGGTCTGGGAAGTAGATGGCAGTGACCCAGATTCCAAAAATGTTATAATCTATTAAACTAAGGTGTTCGCCAGAAAACTGAGAACTTAAAATGGTAGGAATGGAGGTCTACAGGTTCCTAATCCCTTTTTCAAAATGGGATCTGTCTTAGGATTCAGAATCCTGATGCCCCGTAATGAAAAAACATTGCCAGTGAGATCTCGAACAGAACCCAATAATCAGATGCATTAACTAATATATCTGCACCAGAACTAATGAACATACACATTAAGTGGTTTAATAAAGGCTATAAGTACACATCAGTTGGAGTTAGGATTTATAGCCTAATAAATTCAGATCATGTCCTATTTTGCTAACAAATGTGTTATGTGAAACTTTTGATTTTTAGAGCCTTTTGAATTTTGGAAAGACACATAAGGGACTGTTGATCTGCATTATGTTTGGGTATTAGTTCCTAACAGAAGTGGGTTTTTTTGTTTTGTTTTTAAATATGTCAGGCAGGCATGTGGCAAATTCTCGTGAGACAATAGAGTTAGGAGCACCGGATCTGGAGTCTACCTGGGTTCCAATTCCAGCCTTGCCAAGTGACTCTGGGTAAGATCATTAACTTCCCAAGGTAGGAGTTTTTCATCTTCGGAGCTGCAGCAATTCCCTTATAAAGATGGAATAGGATATGCACACAAAGGTACAATATGTGCATGGCATTAGACCCTCAACAAACCTTGTTTTCTCCTCTGTATAATGGACATAGTAGTGCCTATCACGAAGATGCTTTAGGAGACATTTTTAAATAAAAAAATACACGCTAAGAATAACGTCTGCCCATAGTAAGCATTCATTACACAGTAGCCAGTATCATTATTATTAGCACTATTATTTTTTTTAAAGATTTTATTTATTTGGCAGAGAGAGACACAGGGAGAGAGGGGACACAAGCAGGGGGAGTGGGAGAGGGAGAAGCAGGCTTCCCGCAGAGCAGGGAGCCCGACGCGGGGCTCGATCCCTGGACCCGGGGACCATGAGCCGAGCCGAAGGCAGACGCTTAACGACTGAGCCACCCAGGCGCCCCTATTAGCACTATTATTAAAAATATGTACCTTTCCTAGCACAGTCATTTTTTTTTTTAAGATTTATTTATTTGAGGGGGGGAGGGGCAAAGGGAGAAGGAGAAAGAAACTTAAGCAGACTCTGCGCTGAGCACAGAGCCGGGCGCAAGGGCTGGAGATGGCGACCTGAGCCAAAACCAAGAGTTGGCCCGTTAACCAACTGCACCACCCAGGCGCCCCTCAACAGAGTCTGTTTTAGGAAGCAAAGGGAAAATTAACATCTGTTGGATGAATGAGTGGTGTATTGTAAAATTATGATAATTCATAATTAGAATTTTCCAGACTGTAATTCCATCCCATTCTGTCACCATCCTCCCCCCACCCCCAGCACCTTATCTTTCCCCATTTGCACAGCACTTGGTAAACTTGGTCCTTGCCTTCCTCACCACAACCATGCAGGTGTGTTAGGCTGTTCTGGAAGCTGTCCCAGATGCTGACAAGCCCTTGGCAGTAGGATAGAAAGGGAAAAGGGAAGTTTTGGCTGACATCTCCAGGTCTGACTCCTTACTCATCGGGAGAGTTCCAGTGGTATCTTTAAAGTTTAGGATAAATTATAGGGCCCCTGCTCTTTTTTTGTGTCTCTAACAGATAAGTATCTTGGATTCTAATTTCCTTAGTTTGTTATATATGAATCTCTTGTGATCAGTAATGGGTAGGGTTTGGTAAAGTCATAAGTCTGCAGGGATGTTTTAAATGCAGGCAATGTACAGAGGGGGTGGGTACTAGCTAGGCGGAGAGCAGTGGAAGAATGTGTGTGCTTGTGTGTCACAGTTTGGACTAATGTCTTGGCACGGCTGTCCCATTTCCTGACATGTAAGAACTGGATCTTAAGGCCGCACATATTTGGCAAGCCCTATTATGTTACCCTCCCAAGGGAGTGCTTGGGTAATGAAGGTGATAGATAATATTGGGTAGGTACTGGTGGGACCAGGGACATGAGAGAATATGGAAAGAATCCCTTTTAAAATATCTTTATTGCATTAGATTTTAGTGTCTGTGAACAATTACAGCATTCAGGGAGTGCAGGATTTAAATGAGAAACACAACTTTGTCAGATTATACCACTTGGATAAAATGGCATGGGCTCCGGAAATCTATAATTAAATGTATTTTTGAAAATGAAAAATATAGTGGAACATCTGGTTTATTTCACTACAGAAGTGCCTGGGCATTTGCTTATATAAGTGTGATTGACTTTGGCCAATATGTGGATTTCTCTGTGTAAAATAACAGTATTTTAATTAAATTTTTTCTGCTTGATTCTATTTGTGTTGTAAACAAATTATTCATGCACGCACACACACACACGCTCATTAGAAAATGGCTGTCTTCTTTAGAAAATCTAATGTTTGTTCATTTTTCTTTTTTTTCCAGCGGATATTCAACTCCTTTGTTTACACTGAGAAAATCTCAAATGGAGAAAGTGAAGTACAGCAGGTAAGAGGTTATTTAGTACTTGACCTTCTCTTTGTCTTGCTTTTGGAAATGGCTTCACTACTCTTTGCAGGCCATCTCCACGTGAGCTTTCGTACAGTTCGGTGTAGGATTTCATCTGTGTCTTAAGCATAATGGTGACAACCTCAGACTTGAAGTTCTTATAGGCCATTGAAATAATGGTACTGGGGATTTTTTTTGCTATTTGTGTTATACGTTGGAAGTATGATTTGATTCCTTTTTGTTGTGAAGATTCCTGAACTGACCCAAATTTAAAAATATTAGAAATTATTTCATCTGATACTGGAAGTGCCCAGGCTTTGGAATCAGACCAACCCAGGTCAAATTCTGGTTTTCTCACTTATTCCATGACCCCCTTAGCCTTTTTGATCTGCTGTTTCTCGGTTTTAAATAAGGTGAATACAATATCTCCTTTATGAGATAGAATTAAATGAAGTAATGTCAAGATAATTGAGAACAAATGAAATCCTTTATTTGGAAGATTCAGGCATAGAAGCAGCTCAGTGGATATTGGCTTCTTTTGTTCTTTAATTTTTCTTTCCTCTTGTATTCTTCGTTTGCTTCTTTCCTTCCATCTCCTTTCAATGGTGTGTGGGGTCAAAAAGTTCCGAGGCCAGATTCTATTTACTTTATTTATAGCTACCTTCAGATGGACTGCTTCCTAAAGTAAAACATAGTGTTGGTGAACTTGGTCATAAATAATTGATCTGTGCTTGAAAAGAAGGGTGGTAAAGAGGATTCTGGGTTTTAATTTCAACTAATCCGCCAACTTCATTACACTGTGTGACCGTCAACTGGTAATTTGAAGCGAGGTTGGAAACTTAGGTAAAAAACAGAACCAAGCTAAAAACCAGAGTGTAGCAGAGTGCTTCCACAGAATAAAAAGATAACTATAGGAAAACACACAATAATTCAAACTCTCTGAGATGCTGCCTTTATTTTATTCATGGAAAACAACTTGACTTGATCTGAACTAAAGAAGTGCTATACAAGAGACAAAAAGCTTTGCAAGTGTCATTAGAGTGAAGTTATTTATGGGATAGTTATTTATTTATAATAAATTACTGTGGTTTCATTTTGAAGTTCAGCATTTCCTGTGTATAGACCTTAAAATGTTTTATTGGTTTCTGCAGGTTAAATTTAGAGGATGTAAGCACTTATGTATGTACTCTTTTTCTTAGCTTTAGATATTTTTAAAAACTAATGACCTCAAATTACAGTGAATATGATGTGGTTTGCTGTATCGAGTCTTCTCTTAATAATTCCTGTCTTATTTTTATTCCAGCAAACTGAGAAGTGCTTTTAAGGTCATGAAATTTAAAAGGGTTTTTATGGGAGGGAAGATTTCTACACAAAGCATGTTGGAGGAAACTTTCTGAGAGACCAAAGGCCACTTGATAACATTTTAAAGAAACTGACCCAGGGATATCAGCTTTGTTGCTTTCCTTGAAGTAACAGATACAAGTTCTTCCTTCAGCTGTTTTCAAATGTGAAACTTGTTTTCCCAGACTGATGTCATTGCTTTATTTTTCAAGCTGTGCACAAGTTTGGAAACCTTTAATAATTTTTTAAAATTATAGCAACTGATTGAGCACGAATAGAACACTGGTGCTTATCACATTGAATTTTTGTTCTCCAAATAACCTTGAAGGAAAGATACCCTTATTACAGATAAGCAAACTGAAGCTCCAAGAGATAAAATAAGTTACCTGTAGCCTCATGACTGTTACCTTAGCTAGTTTTCAAAATAAGTTTGACACAAATTTTATATATGTGTATATATGTATATTTTAAGAGTTCATTTTTAAAATTTGTATTTTCAATTCAAAACAGTAGCTTCTGCTAAGCTTTTTTTTTTTTTTTTTTTTGGTATTTGAGTAATTCAAATGAGTTATCACGTAGTTCTGTGTTTCCCTTCTCTGTGTGTGAAAAAGTTGACCCAGAATGTACTTTTAGCCTTCCTGTAATCTCTCCAGTCTGCCCTCTGGAAGAACCCTGAACAAACAGATCTTATGCCTCTTTTGCATCCAGTATGTGGAGATAATTATCATGTCGTCATTATTATAAGAACAATCATAACTGCTTATAAGATTTGTTTGATAAGTCAAAACAGGCTAGTTATTCAAAGTAGATTATTGACCTGTATACTCCATTTTAGCTCACAGCCTTTAATGGACCACTTCATGTTTTGGTATATTTTGCAGGATCTGGAATCAGGATCAGGAAACTTGAGTTTTCTATCCATCATTCCTCCATTGGGGGTAATGAAAACTAGAGCCTCATGGTTTCTTACCCTCCCACCTTACTAATCAAATCTTATTGAGATTTGGATCTGACTTGTGCATACTATATAAGTTGGCAGTAAATCTAATGTGCTGTTAATATCTTCTGGTTAGGGGAGCAAAGTAATTAAAACTAATAAAAAACATTTTGTGATTCTTGACTCTTACCACAAAACTCTCTATGGTATAGACTTTGCTTTGCTTTTTCTAATTATTTCTTTTAAATTAACCTTCAGAGTGTGATTCTAGATGCCTAACAATGTGTTTTAAATCTTTAATTAGTTCAGTATCTATAGTTTCACTGCCAAAAATCTATGGCAACAGCCTCAGGAAACTAAAAATCCCATGCACACATTCTTATGTGGAGCATTTCCCATAGACTACGTTTTTTTTTAAAACTTTGAGAAATGAAGTTGTATGAGCACATAAAGCCATTATATGAAATTGAACTCGGATCAAGAAAAATAAATTTTTGATCAAGTGCCCCAAAGAGAGCAAAACATCGTCCATAAAACACAAAGCAATGAAGAAGAAACAAAAGGAGAAAGAGCTTCTTGGCGCACTTAATTGGATCACTAAAGAAACCAGAGGCACCTTGGACATGTTTCAAGAGTTTGGTCTAACTTTTTCACAAATGCTCTAATAATTATTTAGGTTAATCATTTCTTTAATGAAATAGCAAACCTATTTCCATCATGCACTGTTTCATAAATTATTGATGGCAGTGGCTTATTTTAGAAGACTTCAGAATTCTTTTGGAACGGGCATAGTAAGAGCAACATGTATGTGTTCAGTGTACCTGACCTTGGGCCAAGTACTCCTTTCTTAATCCGTTTTTCTGTCTTCAGGATCCTATTCTTCAGCATGTAAACATGCTATTCTCCTGTCTTAAGCATAAAACAAACCCTTGACCCTGCTTCCTCCTCTGTGTACTGCCCCATTTTTTCTTTCCCTTTGAAGCACAAACCATCACAAGGTGTCTATACTCCCTAGATCCAGTTCTCCCATTCTCTCTGAAACTTTCTCCAGCCCTACAGTCCCACAAAACTGCTCTATTCAAGGTCACCAGTGATGCCCACTTTGCTAAATTCTGGGTCCTCATTGTATTTGATTAACTTCAGTATGAAGAAGTTGATCCTTTCTGTTGTGTTGATAAACTTACCTGGCTTGGCCCTGCAGGACCACACGCTTGCCTCCTTGCTGTTTCTTGGCATATTCCTGCCTTTTAGGGCTTTGCACTGGTGCTGTTCAGACATACGTCCCCAAGGGCCTTCACCTGCTCCAGGTCTTTCCTCATAAGTCACTTGCTGAAAGAGGTGGCCACCATATTTTAAAATGTAACCCACCCTTGCCTGCCAAACTCCTGATTTTCCTTCACCTTGTTCTACTCCCCCCGACCTTATTACTTACCACTTTGTGGTTTTAGGGTATTTGCTTTATAAATCTAGTTTGGAAACATTTCCTTGTCCTTTTCTTTCAAAAAGAGTATATAACATTGGTGGTATTCCTTCCTTTGATGTTTGGTGGAATATACCCGGAATGCCATCTGGACTTGGAGCACTCTTTGTGGGCAGGTTTTTGATCATCAGTTTCTTTAATAGCTATAGGTCTTTGGGTTTTGTGGGTGGAGTTGAGGGGTGGGAGGTGTAGTTTTTTTTTTCTCCTCAGATTTTCTGTGTTGGATCAATTTTAGTAAGTGGATTTTTTTCAAGAAATTTGTCTTTTTCATCTGAGTTGTCAAATTTGTTGGCATAAAAGTGTTTAGAATATTTTGTTATCTTTTTAATACCTGTAGGCTAAAAGAAGAACATAAAGAAAAATCAGTAAAACCAAATGCTGGTTCTTTGGAAAAATCTGTTAAAAGGATAAATGAGACTGACAGAGAATGAGAGAACAAATGGCAAAGTAAATTGGTGATGACCAAGTTTTTAAAACTTGGCCTCATTAATTTTTTCCACTTTCTGTTTCACAGATTTAAGCTCTTCATTATTTCTTTCCTTGTGTGTTAGGTTAATTTTGGTCTTCCTCTTCTTAAATTGGAATTTTAGGTCTTTTTTTTTTTTTTTACACCTTTCTGTTTTTCAAATAGAGGCACTTGACACTATGAACTGTCCTCTAAGCACTGCTTTTGTCATCCCACAAAGATTGAGATCATGGTTTTCTTATAGTTCAACAATTTTTAAAATATTTTCTAACTTCGTTTTTGACCCATGGATTACTTTATAGTGTGTTGTCCAATTTCCAGAACATTTGGGGTTTTCTTAGCTATTGTTACTAATTCCTAATTTAATTTCACTGTGATCAGAGAATATATTCTATGATTTCAGTCTTTCTTAATTTATTGAAACTTGGGTTTTATGGCCTAATATGATTTGTTTTGGTGAATATACCATGTAAACTTGAAAAGAATGTGTATTCTTCAGTTGCTGACTGTTAGGTTCTTTATATACCCATTAAGGTTAAGCAGGTTGATAATTCAGATCATTTATTTTGGGGCTGATTTTTATTTTGTCTAATTCCATCATTGCTAAGAGGGTTGTTAATATCTGTATTGGTGGAGTTGTATAATTTTTCCTTTAATTCTGCCCATTTTTGCTTCCTATAGTTTGAGGCTTCATTATTGGGTATGTATGCATTTAAAATTGTTTGGTCTTCCTGATGAGTTGGGTTTTTTTTGTTTTTGTTTTTTTTTTTTTTAAA